CTCTACAAGATCACATAATTTGATTCAATTAACTATATATAAGTGTGCCATAAATACTATCGATTTACTAAGAGAGGTCGAAACTTTCTGATCACCCTTTAGCTCCATATAATGCTATTAGTGTTTATACTCGATCATCAAGAAAAACTTATTCAAAAAGAGTCGACTATATTCATAGTGAACTTCGATCTGCATTTGAATTAACACATTTATTTGAAAATTATTCATTATCATTATTAGGTTAATTAAAACAAAAACGAAAGATTTATGCTTGATTTTTGTTTTTAGAATCAACAAATCTTCATGTAATTTCGAAAATAGTTTCATTTAATTTTTTTAAAATCTACAATTCATTATGGACCTAATTTTGCTTTTTCTGTTCGTATAATAATTTCTATTTTAGTAAAATATTTTTTTTTTCAAAAATATTTCAGGTGACATTAATATATAATAGTAATCAAACACAACAAGAATTAAATTCTAATATAGAAGAAACATTTGACTTATATTTTACAACAATAAATAATACATTTTTATCAATAGCTCATCAAATATTAAATAGAAAATTAGTTTTATTTTTAAATCAAACACATTCATTAAAACAATTTATTCGAGTAAAATTATTCTATTCAAATAAATAATAATAATATTTGTTTATTATAGTTATTACATATGACAGCAAATCCATTATCTTCAATTGCTCGATTGAATTGTTTTAATCGACCGATTCCTTTTGTTAATCGGATTAGTTAATCAGTTTAACTAACGAGAGAACCTTTCAAAATGTTCTAAGGATCATTAGGCCTATCTACGAGCAAAAATTTCAGGTCGAAATTCCTCTATTTGATTTTCCACTAAATACCAAAAATGGATCAAAAACTCAGTAAAACGGTCATAGCTCGGGTTCAAAGGCCATTGTTTTCGTATTTTTTCATTTAAATGGAAAAACCTATGCTATATTTGTAGGATAGCTGTGTTTAATCAATTCTTACACTTGTTCCATATACTGAATCTCGATGACGTCTTATATTTGGTCAAATATTTTCACTTAATATTCAAATATGTGGATCTAATTTAATACTTATTCGTGATGGTTCATTTAGTGTACAATGGAATAGTTCATTACCTGAACTTACACCAATACCAACACTTAAAATAACATTTTTATTTACTAAAATCATATATGAAATTGGCTGTTTTTTCTTCTTATGGGAATTTTTATCGGTATAACGGGTGATGCAAAATTTCTGCATTAATTTTCTTTTCATTCATGTACTACGTACGAATATCTTGCACTCTTGATTCTTTTTTTTGTTAGAAACAGCAAAGTGTCTACTACAAAACAGTACAAAAATATTTGATTCAGAATGTTTATCAGGGACTAGGGAGCTTTAAGAACAATTTGGACTGAAAAAGTGTGTTTCAACTTCAGTTAAAATTAGGGATAAGAAGCACACTTGTCTGATTATTTTGTATCCGACTTTCAATGTTGTGAGACATATTATATGTGAGTCTGATCAATGCGACTCGAGCTTTCTAATCATACCCAAATATTCGAGTTATAGAATTACAGGCTTTAGAGGAAACAATTTTACTAAAAACTTGATTTTCCGTCGACAATGTTCAATGATGTTTTTCTCATAAAGTCTAATAAATACATTGTATCCTGTTTTATATGATGCACTTTTGTAGAGAACTCAATAAGCTTTAATTGTATATAAAATAGGCAGTTTCTGCTAACTTCGATGTTGGAAGAATTCTTTTTCTTCAAAATTATTCATTCATTGTGAAAAATGTATACTAGCAAAGGATGTTAGAAAAATGTCGATTTCGAACTGAAGTGATCATTTGAAAATATTATTTTTGCGTGGATATAATGCTCAATCGTAGTGCTACAAAATCCGATGAAAACCAAAAAATACGACCAAATTTCTTAGCGGATGAAATTTTTCTTCTAAATTCAAGAAGTTGAAACGCACTTTTCCAGTCCAAACTGTTCTTAAAACTCCTTAGTCTCTGATAAACATTTTGAATCAAATATTTTTATACTGTTGTGTAGTAGACACTTCGCTCTTTCTAACAAAAAAAGAATCAAGAGTGTAGCATATTCGTACATGGTATAGGAATGAAAATAAAATTAATACAGAACTTTTGCATCACCTGTTATGCTGATGATCGTGATTTAACATTTGAATTTTCTGATATAAATGATTGTTTTCATGAACAAGATTTTCCAATACCAGAAATACAAACATCATTATTGTAACGATAAAATGAGGAAGATGAGATGTTATGACAGACTGGAGGAGTAGCTTACCGCTACCCTTGGTAATGATGTTTATTAGCTACTCTACATCTCCAGAATGTGTCTATTGCACATTCAACACACACTTATATATGATACAAAAACAAAGGGAGAGAGATGACACAGAAAGAACAATAGAGAGAGAAAGAGGAAGAGCAGCGAGCCGTGACGTATATATCGGCACAATTATCACCACTAATTTTAACTTTAACAACAAATCAACTATTTAATACAACAAATGATTCAGCGTTAGATAACTCATTAATGGAAACAACAACAGATTTACCAGGGCCATCACCAAGTGATATTTATGGTAAATTAATTTTCTTTCTAATACAAAATTCTAATCTTACAACAATATTTTTTCAGATGTAATATTTCGAGATCTATTGCCTACTACCTTAACAATAAACATTAGATTCAATTATCCTGATTCGATTGAATAGTTTTTGAAACTAAATAAAATTCATTGTCCTTTAGGTAATCAATCATTATCAGTGCTACATGGTTACAATCATGAATTATTAACAAAAGTTAATTATCCCGTATATATAACACAACAAACATTTTTTCAAATGCTTTACACACCTGATGGACATCAATGGTCGAAATTTGGATAATCTCTTGCTTCATCTATTCTTGTACGACAATTTTCTAAAGGTATCACTGAATCCAATGATACAAATAATTTAACTGTAAGAATAAAACTAAAAAAATTCTTTTTATTTTGTTGCACATATTATTTGGCATAAGTCTACTTTATGTAAACACCTTTGTTTTTACGAATTTTGAGAGTAAAGATTGTTTATATAAACTAGACTTGTTCCAGAACTAAATATGTAGTTTTGTAGAGCGAACTTCATTCTATCGATTAGCATATTTGACTTGGAACAAGACTAGTTTATACAAACAGTCCTCACCCTCAAAATTCGCAAAAACAAAGGTGTTTACATAAAGTAGACTTATGCCTATTATTTTAGGTTCGTTCTATACCAAATGAACAAAATACATATCGAATAGGACATTTATCTCTTCAAATATCATTTGTATTTGATATTCTAACAGCAATATATCGAATTTATTCTACATTTTTATTAGATTCAATATCACAACAACAACAATCGAATATTTTCTAGTCATCAGATGAACTTCAAATCATGGAAATATTTTTTTAATGAAAAATTTTTCCATTATCACCATTATCAAATATAGTTATGCCATCAATTGATATATTATCTTTACAAGCATCGCAAAATCAGAATACAGCTATGGGGCCATTTGAACGAATGCTTTCAATTATTCATCCTTGAATATTAAAAGATCTTATAAAAATCATTAGACTTGGACAGGTAGATTTCATTTTTGTACGAGTTTGAGTTCAAAAAAAAACGTGGACTCACAAATTCGTATTGTGCAACTCAGGAAATAAAAAAATCAAAAAAAATGATTGTTAACGGTGATACCTGTTCTACCCCTCGATGCTTTCGTTCTCTCTCTTCTCTTTGTTGTTGTACAACTATTTCTTTTCTTTTCTTTTTTTCTCTGTTATACTATGCACTTCAAGGACATTTATATATATATATAAGATGTTTTTTCTTTTGAAATAAATATATATCGATCGCTCGACGAAACGAGCTAACAATGATAACTTTCATATGAACAACATCAAAAAAATTACATTTTGGACGACGAAACGGACATAAAAATTGATTTATTTAATTTTCATCGATTAAAATGAAAATTTTCATCAATCTCATTCCATAATTTTGATTAAAAATGAAAGTCATGAAATGTAATTGATTAAAAATGAAAATCATGAAATGTAATTGATTAAAAATGAAAACCATGGAATATCGTTGATGAAAATGAAGGGTGTGGGTGTGGGTGGGTGGGTGTGGATGTAGGGTGTAGGTGTGGGTGTGTGGGTGGGTGTGGGTGTGGGTGGGTGTGGGTGGGATGGTGTGGGTGTGTGGATGTAGGGTGTAGGTGTGGGTGTGGGTGGGTGAGGAAAAGATCAACACTGACACTCACCCACCCACACCAACACACCCATACCCACCCACACCCACACCCACACCCTAGTAGTAAAGATAACTTATCAATAACTTACGATTGAATTCTTTCGTAAGAAGTCGACAACCAGCACGATACGAACATAATTCAGAATGTTTTTTAGCTTCTCCACCTTCAGCAACGAAAATCATTTTGGAACACAACTATAAATGTAAATATAAAGCTGATAAAAATCTTAGGAGGTAGGAAGTAGAAAACTATATTACTTCAACAGCTTCAGGTAATTGACCAGAACAAATTGCTTGATAGGCACTCACCATCATTTCTTCAATAGATGCGTTCATTTTTTATATGAATAAAAATAATAATTGATCAAATCAATAATCAATAATAATAATTAATCAAATCAATAATCAATAATAATAATAATGAAAATCTATAATCTATAATCAATAATAATAATAATGAAGATCTATAATCAATTATCAATAATCAATAATAATGAAAATCTATAATATTGGCGAAAATCCACTGAACTTTCGTCAGCTGCTTGACGAGAGTCTTGCGAGCTTTCACTAATTATCGCAGAACAGTATGAATGTTGCATATATGTAAGAACTATCCCAAATGTTATGAAAGATGTATCTTGATGCTTGTGCTTATAAATGTAATTGAGGGTGTGGGTTGGGGATGTTAGTGTGGTTCTCAATGTTGCTGTTGTAATTTTTTATCCACCCCCGCACACCACCCACAGTCACAAACTACCCACACCGTAAACGGATTTACCATATTAATAAAGCATAATCAAGTCACAAAACACTTATGTCATATCATATTGTGTTAATTCAATCGAAAACAGATCGACTTATGTTATCTAAGATACAAATCAATCTGTTAGTCTACACAGAAATTATAATCTTATAACGGCTAATAAAGATATGAATTATACTGCAATGAACATAAAACATAATAAGAAAGCCAGATTTGTACATCTTTTGGTCAAAGTCTTCTAACATACTTTGATGATGTGCTTCTTTTTCGACTCAAAAAACCGATCTGTGAAAAACTATGGTATTCAGATAAATTTTGTTTATGAAATTTTTGATCGAAAAAAAAAATTGACCAAAGCCATTATCAGTTTAGCTTCTTTAAAGCTGACATATGAAACTCATATGTACTTTAGCTTTAAATAAGTAACGTGCAAACCATAATTGTTGTCAAAGGACAATGTATCTTATTTATTTCTGCATTTCGAATAGAAATATTTTCTTCTTCCATTGGTGCTCGATTTTTTATTTACCTTGTTGCTATTTGTTCGTTGGTTTTTTTTGTATTCAGTTTTTATTCTACAGCAAGTCTCAGTCCACTATTATATATCTCGATAAGCTCACAAACATTGAGTATCGATTATTTTCTAACGTTATAACTTGATTCATTCATGCTTGTTATGCTGATCATATGACGACTATAGCAAATCAATGTAAATCCAGCTATTCAAATTTCGACAAAAACTTTGGAATGTTCTAGAACAGTCTAATTTGCATTGTTAATATCGTTCAGCGCCTTTTTCAGTTTCTAAAGAACTCGGGGAAAGGAGTCTGACGCTCGCTGTCCTTAGTTGCTATGAAAACATCCCCAATGAGCTTTGATCGAAAGAGCTACAAAATCTCGATTTAAACTTACGCTCACTATATGTATTCCATAAAAGTCAGCCCTATGGACATTCGTTCTGTCGATTTATTATTGAAAAACAAGTGTTTGTTATGTGATACAAAAAAAAACACAAAGATTTTTCACTGCACACGATTTCCTTAAAAAAACCTGCAAGTTGAAAAAAGTAATTTTGAAAATTAAACAGTTCATATTGTAGAAGATTCTTCAGGTTACAAAATCTCTAAGCAAAGATTTTTCAAAAAAAAAACAATTGAGTTTATTCATGATTAGCGACATGAGTGAGTATGAATTTGAAAACGAAAAATCCTTATATATAAACAATGACAATCAAATCGATAATCTTCATATCGCATTCGTTGATTTTACCCATGCCATACATATGTTCATATATTTTTTTTTTCGTTGAATTGTAAATCAAATTTAAAACGATGTGAAAGATTAAAAATATTGTATTATAAAATAATTCTAATCTATTAGTAATTTTAAATTCTATATATCAACGGTGATTGGTGCCATCTATAGAATTAATGTCGTCGAACATTATATGGAACTTAAATCAAGGCATAAACAATGTCAGCTGATAATGTATTTTTTTTGCTTTTGGATTAATTTTCTCATAACATATTGCATTTATTTGCGCGCTTTATATATTTTTATTAAAAATGTCATCAAACTATTAATATTATGATAAAAAAATTTACGAATTATATACATATATAATTTATTACGATCCTATTAATTATATTTGACAATTATGGAACGAGTTCGTCGTTTATTTACTAAAGTAAAATAGTTTCTAGCTAAAATCTATTATTATGATTCTTTGAAAAGAGAAAATAGTAGAACAAATTTATTTTTTACTTTCATATACTATATAATTACGTTCCAAAAAAAGAAAAAAAGGAAGTTCTGCATCATTGCTCAATTTTAATTATACACTTTTCTATGCGATAAAATAAATCATCATACATATGATGATTATCATACCACTCCGTTTTTTCGTTTATGCAAACAATTTGAATATTAGTTGTTACAACCAATCATTTATCGACAACATTGTTTTTCTTCCATTATTTTTCTTTTGCTGTGCTTCATTTTTACTTTCTCTTATTATTATTTTTTTTGTTACTGTCATACTATTCTTTTTTTAGCATTCTTCTATCAGATGTAATAATGCAAAATATTGATTATATATATATATATATATATATATTCTTTCCTTATAATTCTAGACAAATACATATCGTCGATTATCTGAAATACCTTCATTATCAACATTTGGCAATTTTGCCAATAAAAATAATAATATGATTACACATAATCAAGATCATTCAAAAAAATCTAGTAGTGTTTTTGAAAAACTTGGACAAAGAATAAACACTATTAAAGAAGATATTGCTGATAATATTGAACGTCGTAAACAATCACATATTAATGCTAATAATAATCAAATACATTTTATAACACGTCCAAATCAATCAGAAGATTCATTAACTATTGAAAAAAAATCATCAACACCAATTGAAATTCGTCAAAGACATGCTTCGGGTAAGATATAAGAAGAGAAATTATTTCATAAATCGTATATTTTTTATTGCATTTCCAGCTGTTCTTGTTTTCTTTTGTTTTTCTATTCTATATTTGATTTAAAAGAAAAACAAAAAAGAAACGACGTATAAATTTTTTAAATTACGAATGAAGAATTCTAAATGTAATGGAATCTTTCTCTTGAATTAAAATATTGTATTTGTTTGTTCTCATCATTTTAATAACGTACTGTTAATCAGATAAATCTATGACAAGAATTTTCATAAAGGAAATGTATCATATTGTAATCAAATATATTATTGTATTACAGATATGTCATATGTCTATCTAAGAACTATCTATTTATCACTGTTTTTTTTCCTATAGAGCTAAATATAACCGATTCAATTGAATATGTCGAACTTCTATATTTTCTCATATCATTATTTAAGATGATTTTATCATTAGTTATTGTTCTAGACCTTCTCGAAAGATCGATTAATGATCACAAATGAACTGCCACGGAATGATTTAATGCATATTAAATAGACTGAAAAATGACTAAATCTCAATCTTTCTCCCTTGAGATTTAAGAATAGATATTATTAATTCAATTTTCATGGAAATATATTAATTATTTGCTCCCTTTGGAATAAAATCATGTTTGACATTCTAATCACGTTTCAAAAAATACATTGTAAAATACGAACATATTGTATTTCAATGTATATATATATATATATATATACAAGAAAAACAAACTCATTTGTATATCTTTTAATTGAATAGGTGATGATAATTCGACTCCAGAACGTTCATTTTCAACATCACAATTAACAACAACTAGTACAAAAAAAGCATTAAATGAACCATCAAGTATTCCAACAACAGAAACTATTCTTAGTAATTCATTTCAAGATATATTTTCAACAGAAAATAGTGAACGAGCAAAAGATATGATTATAAATAATGTACGTCAAGGAATGAATCGTAGTCATAGTGGAGTACTTAATGAAAGTAGTTCAGATGATTATGTTATTAAAAAACCTGATTTAATTGAAACAACAATTAAATCAAATATTATAAATAATGATCAAAATAAACGAAAATTCACTATGTTATTAGCTGGACCAAAATTTCGTCAACATACTATTGAATCACAATCGAATTTTAAACGTGATACAATTTATCCAATATCGGTATGAATTAGAAAAAAGAAAATAAATTTAAATTTATTTATTTATTTTAATTCTTTTATTTTATTAGTTTATTGTTGGTATTATTTCAATAATAATCATATTATGGAAACCAATATCACCACTTCTTAGTGGTTTTATTCTTGGTTTTATATGTGCTTCATCTATTGCTTATATTATTATACGAATGTATCTTAATACCAAATCTAATGAATTAAATGCACACGAATGGATAGATTTTCCAGAATTAGAATCTATACTTCAAGAAAAAATAACTAAAATAGATAAATATAAAAGTTTACCTGTAAGATTTTGATTTAAATAAGAAAGAAAAAAAATCTCAAATATATTAATTCATTTCTAGATATGTTGTGAAATTGTTTTTGGTCAATATGATCATGATCAAGATGAACAATTTATACGATATCCAGTTGTTATGTGTCTTGATAATGATCATCTTATTATTCAATTACCAACAAGAGCTAAAACAGAAGAAAAAAAAGATAAAGAAATTAGATTTGTTGGTCATCGAGAATATTTAATTAAAGGTAATCTATTTATAGAAGATTTCAAATGACACTTTCATTTCGATCACAATTAATTATAAATTCAATCGCTAGCAGATTTCAGATAAAACACGAGGCGAAGATGATAAACATTTTTGGCGAGCGGCTCGACTTCTGAGTCCTATTTTCAAAATGTTTTGCAGGACGGAACAAACGGAGATTCGAGACTATATCAGATCTGAGTTCAAAAGTTGTGAACGCGGTAAGCTCTATTGTCTATAGTTGGTATGATACAGGCACGCACTTCCTTGGATAGACAAAAACAAAGAGAGCAAAGCAGTTTCCGTCTGTGCCAAGTCTTCCATGATAAAAAATCTTGAGAATAATTAAATTTTTTAATTTTAGATGCTAAATTGATACTTGTTCCTGAAGCAACATTATCTCGTATAAAATATTGGGTAAATGATTATCCTATTGTAATACAAAATACAGAAATATTAAATAAAGAAATAACTAATAAACAAAATTATGAAAAATCAAAATTTGATGTTGAAGAATTTTTTAATAATTCTCAAACAACATTAAGTATTTTCTTTGAAACTTGTCCTGATAAAGAAGATTGGTTTTATAAGTATACAAAATATCTTTATATTTCTGTTTCATTATATTTCTTTTATTAAATTTAGATTATTATTTGCTTCACGTAAAAATAAAGAAGAAATTGAAGGTCCTCATTGTTCATTAAATAATTCATCACCAACATTTCATTCAATTTCTTCAAGTAGTTCTGATACACATATTTCAACATTAAGTTCTCGTTCTATTTCTTCAAAACAATCGAATAAAATTAATACTGACAATTTCAAACGAAAAAAATCCGATGAATCAATTGGATCATCATATTCTGATATAATATCACTAGAAAAAATTCAAATCAATGAAATGGATATTATTAATGATATGACACAAGCTCGTATTGGTGCTCAAGAATTACGTACAGATATATTAGAAAAAGATAAAAAACAAAATGATAAAGATTCAGATAAAGATTCATCTAATTTACAACGTACAGGATCACTAAAGAAAAAATTTCGTAAACAACAAGAAAATCTTGATCGTATACTTAATTCATCTGATTGTCTTAATGAAGCAGCTATAACATTAAATTTTCTTGTACGTCGACTTTTTTGTGATATTTTTCAAGAATCATTATTTAAAGATTTATTAAAAGAAAAAATTGAACTTAAATTAAAAGAACTTGCTGTAAGTTTGTATTGAAATTATTATTATTATTATGCAAAAATTAGTTCTGTTTTTTTTTTGTTCTATCTTTAGGTAAGTGTACTTGAAGATCTACATGTTGAAACAATTGATATGGGTAATACATTTCCTATTATTCTTAAAGTTGAACCAATGCAATGGAATAATAAAGGACTTTGGTTTAATTTATTTCTTTTCTATCGAGGTAGTTTCAAGTAAGTTTAATTATTAAAACATTCGAAAATTTTTATATTATTATGAATGTTTGAAAAAAAGAAAACACAAAGTTAGATACCTCACAGTAAAAATTTCAGCTCAATACATTGAATCTAAGAAGAGTTAGCTAAAGATTATGAGTTAAAATTTAGGCTTCCATGCTTTCCAAATTTCAAATGCTAGAAAGATCGGGCTGGTTTTAAAATGTGGCGCTACAACTTAACAGAGCCTGATTTTTTTTTTCAATTGTCTCTTAGCTTCTTTTTTTAGAAAATTTCTTTGATGAAGTATGAAAAATCCAAGGAGTATAGGTGCAGACATTAATGAGGAAATTAAAAAAATCTGACTCTGTTAAGAAATAGCTTGTGCTTTCATTTTGACACTAAGCTCAGCTTTCTAAAGTTTAAAATGGCAGAGAAATCTTAAATGCATGGAAACATAAAAATCAAAAGCGCTATTTTAAGACAAAACCTATGTAATATCCTTAAATCTCATCACAAAATCGACAAGCTTGATCAAAATTCACTCTTGTTAAAGAAGGATCCTTTAATGGAAAAATTTATAATATGATTCGATGAATATATTGATGTGTAGTAATTACAATGATGATTTTTGTTAGTATTATAAGAGATCATATCCTACAATTCTATATCATGTACAGAAGTAGATATCAATGAGACTAAGCTACTCACTTCTCATAGTCATTCTATGTGATTGAAACCGGATAAAAATCATTCCCTACAATATGCACTATACCGACGATAGTGTAACATGAGATTATATGAAGTCAAATGGGGGTACATGAAATTCTGAATAAAATAAGGCGTCACCACATTTTCTATTGAGTTAAAAGTATCACTAAAAAAGCGATTTTTTGATAAATTACTTTTAAGTTTTTTAATGAAAAGTTTTAGAAAATATGGCAATGTCTCATTTTGTTCTTTATTGTTAAAAACAACTTTAACAAAGTCTTTTTTCCTCCTCATCATCTTATATTCATTCTTAATATACAAATACTAATTCTATTATTATTGTGAAACTTTAATAGATTCTATTCATATTCTTTCTAATGCAATTGTATTGATATGTAAATTATTTTTCTTTTAGAATTACAATTCGAACTCGTATAGTTCTTCAAAGATTACTTAATACAAATACAACTAGTGATCCAACAATGTATTATCAACATCGTTCAGGTCAAGTTGTATATAAAGATGATGATAATGAAGATACTGTTCAAAAACAAAAATTATTAACTAAAGATCCTGACATACCTGAAAAGTAACTATTTATATTATTTTTCATATATCTATATTTTGTATTTATTTTTTAGTGCGGCTGCACGAAAATTAGGTTTGATATTAACAAAAGTAGCTGGAAATAAACATTTTCAACGATTTGCTGCTTTAAAACCTGTTGCTGGTGTTATAGAAAAATTATCAAATGCTGATGTTGGTGCAATTATTGAACTAATGAATTTTAATGGCATTATGACAGTAAATTAATTTTGATATAAATTTTAGTTCATTTTATTATTTTTTTTTATAAGATTAATATTCCACCACCACCAAGTGATCGTATATGGTAAGACAAAAAAAAATAATTTAATATATTATTTTATATTTATTAAGAATATTATCATATTTAGGATTGGTTTTTCTGAAATGCCTGATTTAAATCTTAAAGTAACGCCAGTATTTGGTGAAAGTAAATATTCATATACATTAATTCATGATTTTCTTGAATCACAAATTCGAGATGAAATTAAAGTAAGTTTTTTTTTTAAACAAAATGATTTATTTTCTAATGAATATTTTTTTTTTGTTTTATCAGCGTCTTCTTGTTCTTCCAGCAATGGATGATCAATTATTACCATTTTTTCGTGATTGGGTTATTGATATGATGTATGTATAATAGATTATTGATATATTTTAATCTCACTTTTTTAATTTTAGGAGTGATATAGCTACAAAAACATTGAATAAAAATCTTAATCAAGCTAACGGTGTAGAGTCTTAATAATTTTATTTTTTTTTCATGTAAATTTTTTTATTTTTTTTTTTTGTGTTTTGATTTATTATATATATATATATATATATGTAAGAGAATGAAAATTTAAATATCAAATGTATAAATCATCTTGATTGTTTTTTATATAATTCATCACAGATGAATGAAGAAAAGAATTTATATTTATTAAATCATTCTCTATATCGAATTGTTTTTTTGAATCTTCTTTTGCATTAAACCATTGATTAAGATAAATACGAACAATTGATGAACTAACAGATTGAATAGGTAGATTTAATAGAATAAATTCTTCTGGATTAAGAATAAGATTTTTATTAAGATCTTGTTGCCAATATTCAAATAATTTATTATTATTATCGTTCATAATTCGTTCAACACCAACACGAATAACAGGTAGTCTATTCGGAAATGATCTTCGCCAAATTGGAATACCATTGCTTATCATTCGATCACCACCGGTAAGAATGATAATTTGAATATTATCATTTTTTAATAAACGTTTTAAACGTTGACTAAGTGCAAATGCTGAACCATCATGTTGTTTTAACATTTCTTCTTGAAATGGACTATTTATTAACCATGGTATATCTTTAATTGCTTCATGAATAAGTGCTAAACGATGTTTTAATTTAATTGTACGTTCATTTCGTGAATGTAATTTATGACGAACATAACCATCAGGTGCAACAGCTAAATAACCACCTAAAATATTCCATTGACCATTAACTTCAAGTTCTTGTTTAACAAGACAAAGCAAAGCTATATGTTGTGTATGTACTGGATTGAAAGCACCGCCTAAAATAATTATTCCTTCCTTCATATTATTTGCTTCGGTTAATATTTATAAAAGCAAAACAAAAAAATTGTTTTCATTTTCTTTTGTACCCTAATAATGAATCATACTATTGTGCAATAACAGAATGTCATCATATAAAAAAAAAAAAACAATCTATTTTATTTATGTATCAAATTTCTTTTTTAATTGCATAAATTTATCGTAATATGATTTAATTTTGCGTATAAAATCTTCATTGTTTTTTTGACCGTGTACTAAACTAACTCTGACGTCATAATCAGTCTTTCTATTTGTTTTTTTTACTTTCAATGTTATGCTTCTTAATTCTATTGTCATCAACAATAATATTCGAATAATTAATAAATAAGCGCTAATCTATATATAGTTAGAGAAAAAATGTTCTATTCTTAACTTAATTTTCCCATTGGATTATTTAAAGAGAAATATCATATGTGTATATCATAGAATTATGTACATATATCATCAATGAAGAAATAATTTTTTCTCGTTATAAATGAAAAGAGAAGCAGCAAGTTTTTTTTTCTTCTTTCTTTTCATCAACCAAAAAAAGCAAAAACCGTTGAGTTTGTTCTATTATATTGGCATAATATATTTATTGACGTAGGCAGGTATGTCGATGTCTATTTAACAAATGTAAAATTTTTTCTGTTTTTTTTTTTGTTGGATTAAGAGAAGTTATTGTACTAAGACAAATCAAAACAGGAAGCCTTTTAACAACAAATCTTAATTATTATCATCATAAAACATAATATATAGTTTATTAAGTATGTTGAATTTTTTAAACTGATCTCCTTTTTTTTCTTATATAATTTAAGAAAAGAATAATAATAATAATACTAAGGTTTATTATTTATCATTTGAATTTCAGAAGTTGGTGAGTTTATAGTAAATACTCTACATTCATTAGTGCTTTCATCACAATTTTTCTTATAAGTTTTTCCGAATATTAGATATATAATGATTGTTCGATTTTGTATCACACGATATTAAAAAATGACGTTGATTCATGTAATAATAGTTGGAGTAATGTTAAAATGAAGGTCAATCAATAGAATGAGAAAATTATTTTGTTTCTTGTTAAGAAAAAGTCTGCAACAAAAACGTGAAAAATTGATTGTCACATTAACGATTACGTGAGATTTATCATTTAATTTGATTTATAACTCTCTTAATATATGATAGTTTGAGATGAAATTTTATCTACTCATTGTGGTCAACGGTTGTTGAAGATATTAATACTCGAAAACATATTATTATTGGGAAAAATGTCACGTGAAATTATTTGATGAAAGCTACGCTAGAAAATAAAAACAAATGCAATGCATTGTATATCAATCTTCAAGGACTATCAACTTCCTATGCGCTATTTATAGAATGTACTTATTTTGTTACAAAAAATTATCGTAAAAAGATTAGATATCGCATCCTATTTACCTAGTTTTAGTAAACATGCAGAGTTCGTTTTTATACAAGGATTTTCATTTGAAGTGGTGCCACAAGCAGATCCAGAAATCTTTTATACATCATTCTGAGAGCGTGACCGAACTCTATCAAATGATATAACGGGTCGAGCAAAAGTTCTACATCAATTTTGTTTTTGATATAGCACTGTAATGGAATATCGTAGAGATTTCATCTTTTTCGTTTGTTAGAAAGAGTAAAGTGTCTAGTGCAAAAAATATACAAATGATAGAGACTTTAGAATGGAAAGCATTGAAAAAGGATTTTGCAACTTTGCTGATAATATTTTAATCTGAAAATATTTGTTTGAACTTTTTTATGTAGTATTAGAAGAATTGGTCTAGCATATAAGAGAATAAACAGAAGAGTATATCATTAAAAAATTTTATTTTTGTGGGTTTATGATTTCCGATACAAAAACAAATGTTTGATTGGAAATCACACAGAAAATCTGTATTCTATTGCTAATAATGTCGTGCGATAGAGAACTCATTAAGCTTTGATTTTCATATGAAATATATAATTTCTGACAATCTCTATCTGAATAGAATTTATTTTTCCGACTGTAATCAAGTGTGATGAAAAATGCAGACATTAGATAATATCATTAAAGAGTTTGTTTTAACCATTATAAAAATACAAAACGCTTACAAGACTTCATTATCCGTACCTTGTAAAACCCGGATTAGAAGAGTAAAAATAAAAGCGATCAGATTAAATGACATCTCTACGAGATTTCATTAGAGAGCTACATCAAAAACAAAATTAATGCAGAACTTTTGTCTCACTCATACTTACATTTAAATATTGCGCATGAAAATTTTCTACGCACATTCTTAAAGATTCTAACATATCTCGAGAAACTCTCATATCTTAATCAATTTAATCGTAGTAGTCGGGAAAATTTATTTATAATTCTCCTTTTATATAGTACGCTACAATGTACTATTATCCAATCCAAAATAAAAGGCTGGTTAATATTTTTCTAATAACTTTTGATAGGAACGAGATAGAGAGCTGCAATTTTTACCATTTGAAAGAGCGATGTTCAAGCCATCGATCGGTATAGAACTCATTAAGATGAAAGATGCTTTTGTATACGTAGGTCTGACCAAAAGTTCTAAGAAGATTAAATAGTGATGGAAAAATAATGAGATATTTTCAATTTTATTTTATCAAATGCTGAGCATAGTTGCCATGATTATTTATATCCGAGACAATCCTTTCTAATAATTTATTAAAAGTTTTTTTGACCTCTTTTTCTAAAAAAATTTTAGCTACCTTGGATACCACATGAGCTAATTATATTTCGTTTGTTTTAAAAATTTAATGGAATTTTGTTCGATCATGTCAGTTGCATTCTAGCATTACTAGTAATGTGATATCGATTTATTTTAGATAGGTTAGCCATAAGTCACCTAATGCTAACTGGCTTATTGAAGATGAATTGTCAAAGGTTGTTGTTCATAAAAATAGATTTTAACCAAAACTTTGTTTAGTATATTCTTTAAATCAAATAAACCTAAGCGTAGATAAAGTCAAGACTGTAGATCATAATTATTATATTGAAAATTGCCCGAAGCCTTTTGTTAATGAAATATGGAAAAAAAATGGACATTAGATTCAAAATGTACAAAATTGCTTGACGATCGTCGTTTACTTCATAATCATCCAATGTCATTAATTCTATGACAGAAGAAGACATCAATATAATGTCATACCCAACATATTCACCAGGTCTGATACTATATAATTTTTAGCTAACTAATTCTATCGAATGTAGTTTAAGTGATTAAATAAATGAAACATCATTAGCTCATATGGTATCCAAGGTAGCTAAAATTTTTTTAGAAAAAGAGGTCAAAAAAACTTTTATTAAATTGTTAGAACGCATTGACCCGGACATAAATAATCATGGCAACTATGCTCAGCATTTGATAAAATAAAATTGAAAATATCTCATTATTTTTCCATTACTATTTAATGTTCTTAGAACTTTTGGTCAGACTTACGTATACAAAAGCATCTTTCATCTTAATGAGTTCTATACCGATCAATGGTTTGAACATCGCTCTTTCAAATGGTAAAAATTGCAGCTCTCTATCTCGTTCCTATCAAAAGTTATTAGAAAAATATTAACCTGCCTTTTATTTTGGATCGGATAATACTTAACATCTTTAAAATTAAAAATTTTTTTTTCGTTCAATTTTTTTCTTGAAACGATACAATAAATATGCAAGAGAGATTGATTTATATGTAATTGAAATCAATTAAAATTTTTCAAGTTTTTTTTTTTTCTAAAGAAAAAATAATGATTCTGCTAGAAGTAGAATTATATGTTCTATTCAGGATACTTTGTTTACTTTTCATGACGATATTTTGTGTATTTTAAGAGTTATTAATTTAATATTCTTAACCCTTTGTGTCCTGAATTTTTTTTCTGAGCTAAAATTTGATGAAACTTGATATAAACTAACTAGATGATATTAGGAAGCATGTGGTTAAATTACAATTAAAAAAAGCACATGATCACATGAAAATTATAATATTTTTGTTACTGTTGCAGTTTAGTAAAAAATTTGTTATTATAATTACTGAAACATTTATTTATTTCATTATTAATACAAGTAGTTTTGATGATACAACAAAAAACGACTTTTAACGCAAAGATTGACACAACAAAAGTTACAAATTATGTTCGTCCTCTTCTCCATTTCTTTTGTGCTATAATAAGCACACTGACGATAAGTTGAAAATAGCTTTTGGCATATGAGTCAAAAATTGTAGTTCTTCTGAACTTTCTGTGTTATTTATTCTCTTTTCAATGCGTTTCTTCTTCTAATTATTTATCCCCGAAGGTCTTTCTACTCTTTTTCTACTTCAATAATTACCTACGAGTGCAGTACTAATAGACGACTCATATTCTAGATATCCTTGAGTACTAAATTGGTCAAATCGTTGGCTTCTATATGAATAACCTATGCTGACTCAATATTCGGACACACATATAGATATTGCGTATTGTGTGTACAGAAGATAATTCTCTTGTTCAGAACTGATGGAAATAAAACAAATGAATTTAATCTTTTGCAACGTACTGAACTGTCTATCACAGTACCTCAGATATATCTCATGGATATAGATTTTGAAGAAAAGGAAAATCAATGAAAAATTTTTAAAGACCAGTTTATGGGTTAAAACTTTTTTCGGACTAAAGAAACTTGGTACGATACACTTTTTAGTCCCATTCATGCACCCTATCATTCGTGCAAGCTTGTACAGGTCTCTACCAGCTTCTAATATTTATTGAAAATATTTCTCCAAGGTTCTGAAAAACTCGATGATTAGAAAATTTTCAAAGTGGTACATATGTGTACCACCAAGACTTAAAGGGTTAAATAAATTTTGATTAAAATTTAATTGTGGATAGTAAGGTTTAAAGAAGATAGTATATGTTTAACAATGCCATCTTGTAATACTTGAATCATATTTGCTTACGAATGATGTCGACTCATATTACATATTTATTATGTAATCGATTGATAGTTAATGTATTATTAAATCGTTCATGTATAACTACATGAATAACCTCTGATATGATAAAAATATTATGAAAAAGAAATTTCTATAGCCTAAATTATTTACTAGAAGATTTGTTTTTTTTTATTATTTTAATTTAAGATTAAAATGTCAAATCGTTCAAACTTAATCGTACGTAAAATTCCCGAATATGAAAAAGAATCACCTGGGATTATAAATTCATCTACATCTTTAAGAAAAACATCAGCAACAATACCATTACTTTCAGATTATGATTATCAAGCACCACGTACATGTCATTCATTATCTCCAGAATCAAAATGGCATATAGTTCGTCATAATATACATAAAATTCGAAGTTGGGGTTGTATTAAACGTATGTCAGCTGTTGATCAACCATTTCGAGATTGGTATCTTTTTTTTCAAATGAGACGTGAATTAAAACATGCTGAAGAAGAAATTCGTGCTATTCAATATCGAAAAGATTTTAGACCTATTCATCATTTTGATTTACCTATTGATGAAACACATATACGACGTTATAATGTATCACATATTCGATCAACTGATGGTCTTTATTATGCTGGTCTTGGTTCAGAACCAATTGTTTTACAATATTTACTTTATTATTTTAGTAAAGAATGTCCTGTACCATATGGTAGTATATTTTATTCATTTTTATCTGATATTAATGCTGTATTACATACAAATCGACAACGTATGCATCAAGTTGTTGTTTATCGAAAAGTTGCATTAATTATAACATTAATTATTTGTATTCTTATTCTTATTATGTTTTTTTCATTGATATTAAGTGTATTAACAACAACATCAAATTTAAGACAAATGTATAAAAATATTCCTGATGAAGATATAAAATGGCATGATTCAAAAGAACTTCAAACAATAAATTCAATATATAAGCCATAACTGAATTTCTTTTTTTGTTTACATATATATGTGTGTCTGTGTATTGATCGATAAAAATTAATTAAATGACAGGAAATTAAAGATAAATATTTTTGAAAATTTACAAGATGAATATATGTGAGTTCGAGAAATTTTTTTTGCTATAAGAGAAAAGTAAAATATTTAGTAAATACACAAAAAAAAGTTTTAGCAAGAAAAAAATCGATCGTGAACAATTTAAACTCAACAAAAGACATCACTGAATAAGATCGTAAATCTGCCACTTCTTATATCTCACTTAAGATAGAACATGAAATTCTGTATATTTCTGTCTGATCTTAGGAGGGGTCTATGACTGTTGTGTGTAGGACAATTGTGTGAATAAAAAATTGTGTGTAAGACAATTATGAGAACAGACAATGATATGCACATCAATTTATTTAATTTGCACTGACTAATACTAGTAAAAGCAAGATCATGAAAATGATATCTATGCATCATTTAAAGATACTTGTGGTTTATAAATTTCAGGCCTTAATCCACTTTACAATTATTGTGAAGATTATTGCTCTAGGAAGCTTCGAAACCAGAAAAGAAGAGCAATTTCAACACTCCCAATCAGATTTTAGAAATTACACAATTTGTTGAGGAATCAATTCGAAAACATAAACAACGCCATCGGGGGTGATACCGATGACTTACCAATATCATAGACTCAGCCATCCTGGATTTTGATAATTTTTCGAGGAATCTTCAAACAGAACAATCATATGTAGACAGTGAAATTTCTCAACTAGTAAAAGAGTCTCACACTAAAACCAATGAGAATCGAAACTCAACAAACGACATTCAAAGTTTTATGGTTTTTAAAAAGTCTTACAAAAGATAATATACAAAAACTAAAAGCGATTGCTCATGCGTTCATATTATAATTGTTCACTGATTGGTTCATCGTGAATTATTTTTGTTATTTTGATTACTTTTCTTTTGTTCATTGCCTTTTTTGAGAAAAATATTTATTTACGCATAATACATACACAGTCATTTTGCACACAATTGCCTACACCCAACTATCTAACACACAATTGTCCATTCACACAATTGTCTGCACACAATAGTCGTGCTCCCCTTAGGAGGATCTATCACTTTGGAACATTTCGAATAATAACTAATGTACCCATAAATTTTCTATTCTAAGTCCCACACGAAAAATGATAGGATTGATCGACATAGGTTTTCATGCTTCACATATCGATCATTTCCACCAATTAGTTAATGTTGGGTCAGACAAGTACGATATCATGTCGGTATGATTCTATATAATCTAAGATAAAAGTGAATGCTAAATATGATCATTATGTGAATTAGTAGAGCATGAAAACCTATGTTGATTTGCTCTATTAATTTTCATTTTGAGTTTATAATAGAAAAATTACGGGCACCATAGTTATTATTCGTAAACGTTTAAAAATGATATAGATCCACCTAAAACTATTTAGTTGACGAAAATAGGTACAAATGTTCAGAATTTCATGCTCTATTTTCCCCTATTCTATTTACAGTGAGATGTAAGGAAATAGCTGGTCAGATCAAATTTAGGGTTGGATCGTAGTTTGAAGAAAATACTGGTTTCAGTTCATGTATTAGTCAACTTTCAAATATAAATTTCGAATTTTCATCCCAAGATTTTGACTTTCGGATAGTTGGAAGTTGTTGGTTATCTTGAATCATTGTTTTCATTTGTATTTCACGTCGCGGAAGTGTATGAAGTCATTTTCGATGTATCTGATTATAAACTTATTCATCCAATTGTTTTAAAATCGGCAATGCATTGTATATTTTAAAAAATGATAAAAATATTTAGAAATAAAGTTAGATGAAGAATCAGTTACGAACACATTCCATATCAAAATCATATATATTAGAGTAAAGACGAGCAGCACGTAATAATGCATCGTAAAGAATATTACGATGAATATGATACGAATGATCTGATATTGTATACGATAAAATATAATTTTAATCAAGTGGTTTATTGCATCAATGTCTTTATTCACAGCTTTTTTTGGATTATTCAAGTTGGATTTTGATTTCAATAGCTGATAAATTGATGGTCATTAGAGTCTATCGAGTTCAAGAATTTTTGGACCTGGATCTGATGAGTTCTACTAGTCATAAAGATATCATCAATATATCTGAAAATCAAAATAATAATTATTCTTTTCTCTTGTTGAGGATTCATATCGTCGATATAGTTCATTATATGTAATGTTTCATCTTCCCCTTCCAGTAAATAAATAATTATTTGCTAATACTTGTATAAATTCTGAATCTATAATTCCATCACGAATTTTTTTATAATATCTATTTTCATAAACAAAATAATTCACATCTAACAATGAAACATTAAAATCTTTACTTTCACCGTCAAACTAACAAATTTAAAATATTATGCATCCATAGTGAGCCTAGACTGGAATATTCGTTTTTTAAGATATTCACAATTTTGATAGATGAACAAAATAATATGAAAACTATTCACATCAAATGTTCTATATAAACATCAGACTTGTTAGTAATGACGGCGCCAGAAGAAGGAAGGTTTTGAAATTCAGGTGATGATAAAGCAAATGGATTAATAATGTTCAATTCTATTTCAGATTCATCATTACGTGGTCTTTTATTAGAAAAAAGTAAAAATGACTCTGTAGTCCTACATTTGTTAGAGTGGATTTCTTAAGGTTGTCATTTAACCTCAAGAAGACAGAATGCTTTTTGGCATGATTGTAGCGAACAACCAATAGAAAATTCAGAAAACGGTTTGTTGCAAAATCAGAACAAAACATTATCGATTCTCAGTAAAATTTTTAAAAAAACTCGAGCGACTCAGCCTCCTCTCCTGTTGGCGCCGTCGCTACTTTTGCAGTAATATATTTTAACAATCTTGTTGGAATTTATCAATCACGTTAGAATCACAGTAGATTCAGTTTCTTAAGTAAGATTATCGATGCAAAAATGGAAAAATATACGTATTGTGTTTGAAAAATGACTTGTACGCAAGGGATGAATAGTAGAATGCTGGAATTCAAGGGAATCCTACATAATCTTGAATATGAAAAGTGTTTAAAAAGCTTCAATAGTAAAATGAGGATTGACGATAATGCCACTTTTGTCTTGCGGGACAAACTTTTTTCATGTTTCCATCACAAAAGTTTTTCAAAATGTTCCGTTAACTGAAAGACGTCTGACTGGACAAAATACAGTAGCCGACTTATTGCTTCTCATCTATTTAGTTGCCATGACAAATTCTTCTTTGAGCTGGTTGATCATCTTTCTTCTCGATGTATTAGTCACAGTTCAAGTTAACCACTCGTTCTTCACACTTAACCATTATTTAGGAATGAGACGAGTGTGCACTTGAAATCCGTTTTTCAAAAACTCGATTCCGTCCGAGAACTTTCTTATATGGTCATACATGACTCAATCTGAAAAAGACCATTGATATTTCAGATGCTACATGCAACAGTTTCCTTATATGGGAATAGTTGATTTAGATTGATCATCTCTTAATTTGTCATCTAAGCCAAGATAGTCGAATGCGACTGAAGCTTATTATGTGCTTTTCTGCGGAAGTCTAAAATTTAGAAATAGAAGATGTCGTATAGGATGCACTCTGACATTATTCGGACACTTGCAGTCAACTGCCTTTTCTATTCAGGATTTACTTGAGTAGAAATCTAGTTCTCTGTTATTTATTTAAATATTAAGACATACAAATAAAAATTTAAAGTGTATGAAATGTTTCGATATAAGAATTGAAAAATTCGGAAGAATCCCGATTGTTTCATAGGACGGAACAAATGGGATTTTTTGAGTTTCAGGACTCTAATATCGAAGCATATCGAAATTTAGTCATTAATAAAAGCAAATCATTGATACTAGTATGTACTTAAAACTCTACTGGAATGAATCGATCTAAATTTATGGATAGATAAATGAAGAAAATCGTTTTGGTCACTATTCCTATAGCGGAGATAAGACGATGATCCTAAGAACAGCAATTCAACACAATAGAATTAACAAGTCATCGATATATATATGTGTCGATAATCACGAACGAATGAAAAGAATAATAAAAAAGAGATATCAGCATGGATAACTGTTGTCACACAGATAGCGTCCCTTTATATGTTCTCAGGAACTTACTACGAATCAGAGTTGGAACCGGATTTTTGCTAGTTCATCATTACAAAATTGTTGTTTGCATGCAAGAATTTTCTCTACTAAAAACGGTGTTTTTATGAAATTTTCAAGTCAGAAGAATGTGTTTGCAAAAGACTCAATAGATATCTTGTCTTTAACTTGACTATAAACGATTGATTGTTCTCTTTATAACTCTATCGATTTCTTTTTCGCGTATCACTCAATTTAATCTAGATCAAATAATTTATTTTCCTATTCTACTTAGACAACTGTCTGAATCAAGAAAAATAAATATTTACAATTTTGTATCAGATCTGTTATAAACTTCGTTTTTTGAAATTAAGATGAAAAAAGAAATTTGATCTAAGTAATTAATATAAATCGATATCGAACTCATAAGGTTGTCGCACCTTGCTATAAAATGTGATGATGAGAGTTTCATTCTCCAGTTTTAGTTTTCAGTTCGAATTAGGGATGGCGATTTTCTGTTAATTTATTTAAAATTCAAATTTTGTAAATATCAATTGGATTTACATAAATTTTAAATTCAGTTTCAATCAATATAAATCCAATTTAAACGAAATAAAATTCATTTAACTAGATCTAAATTCTATATAAATTAATGTGAATGAATTGAAATCCAATTAAATGAATTTAAATTGATTTAAACTGGATTTCAATAAACTTAAATAATTTAAACAAATTCAAATTTAAAATAAATTTAAATTTACAAAATTGACTTTTGGATGTATCAAACATTCGTAAATGTAAAGTGATCACCCATGGTTCAGATTTCTACACGTAAATATTCAATTCCTTTTCGCCACCATTTTATGTAAACAGATACTTTCATCGTCGGCGATTTTCGTCGGATTTTTGCCAGTTTGATTGTAAAATTCATCAAGCCGGTTGCTGGTTGGATCGGATCGGACAGAAAAAAATTGTCCGGTTCCAACTCTGCTAAGAATTCTGAACTTCAGGATTCTTCATGTAATCTAGTTGTCTTCATTAAAATATCAAGACTTACTTTTTTCTCTGAAGGACATTAAATTTGTATTTGTTTAGTTTTCAAAAAGTAAAATTTAGATGTCATACGAAGAATTATGTCAATGAAAAAAACAAGTTTTAAATACATGTTTAACATTCTAATAAAACAAATATCTTTTTTTTTTTTGGCTAAAATGCTCCAATCTTTAATTATATCAATATTCTTA